AATCATGTTACACAGTTTATATAAACGACAAGAACAGTGTCCTGCCTCCTGATAAGTATTGATTAGATGTTGGTACTTACTGATATTGTTATAAGAATAAAATAAGATTGAGGAGAAGATAGGCTACTGAATGTATTTTTTTTTTTTAATATAAAGTGAATACTTCAGAAGCACTCTTGAATAAGCGTGTGATATAATTTAAAGCTTTGGAAGTAAAAAGAACTTAATAAAAACATACTTTAGTAGTATGAAAAGCTGTTAGGGAGCTGACATTTTTGTCTAGATTCTTAATAAAAAATTAGCCTGGCAGTTTCATGGACACTGGCATAAGGTGTTGTCTTGGGGAGAGACCAAGGTTGCTCGTCTTATTGGTTTGCATGAATCAATCACCTCACTGTGACATCACTCTTTAGTTAGGTACTGATGTAGCTCTCGCAGCAGTTGCAGTATTCAGAGTGTCAGCATTTGACCTAGTTCCCATAGGCCACAGGTATACATGCAGTGGTTACATTATGGGAGAGGTAGCCTAAATGTAGGGAACTTACCTCGTTGATAGTGAGACATAAATATACCTGCCCTTTGCTGTGGAGGGAGATGCTGTAGTCCTGGAACACTCACTGTACAAACATCCTTAGAAGAAGAATCTGGCTCAAAGGCAGTCAATGACTCTGCTTGGGAGAAGGACATGAATGTCAGAGACTGGAGAATTGTGTTCCATTTAGTTTCCTACATAAAAAAAAAAAAAATCCAATAGAGTTCTGTTTGCTTAAGGGCACATTTCAGAGGATTTCTGTGTTCTGTGTGGAGTCCTGGTGTGGCACTGCAGTATAGTGAGCTAGACAGCTGTCCAGAAGGTTGGCAGTTCAAACCCACTAGCTGCTTACTGCACAGCATTCTTATTGCTAGCTGCATCGTATTGCAATCTTGCTTGCATGTTTTTATAAGCATCGCTTGGAGATAAAATGAAGTCTTCAGAGTTGTTAATTTGATAAATAGGTCTTTTTGGAAAATTACATATATATGTAATCTTTTGAATCTTTCAGGTGAATATGAGAAGGGTGTGGACCATTTGACAAATGCGATTGCTGTGTGTGGGCAGCCACAGCAGTTACTACAAGTGTTACAGCAAACCCTTCCACCACCAGTGTTCCACATGCTTCTGACTAAGCTTCCCACAATTAGTCAGGTAAGAAATTGAAATGGGAGCAAATATAACTATGGAAGATCTAAGAAATGCTTCAGAAAGTAATTGTGTTCTTGAGGTAGATCAGGAAGTGTACCTTAGTGGTGAGGCTTTAGGCTGAGACAAGCGTCTTCCCTTGGTTTTGGACTCCAGCATGCTTTCCCTTGTGTGGCTTGGACATCCAGGAGCATGGGCCCCCTTGGGCTCCCGCATCCAAGTGCTCTGTGCCGGCCTCTGCACTGAAAGGGCTTTGGAGCTAGGAAGACTACATCCCCAAATTCCTGTATTTATATAAAAGATTACCCTCAATTTAGGGATTTTAAACTGTATCATGTATGTTCTGAATCCTTTCTGTGGAGCTCAAATTAATTCTGTTTGGAATAATATCTCCGTTGATTTCCTCAGTGGTATGATGAAGAATGAGTAATAAGATGAAGGATAATGTTTATTGGTTAATAATCAGTGAGTTATTTCTTGAAACCTGTATTTAGGAACGAAAATGGACGTCCCAAAGATTTGAGAGAAAGAATTGGAAAAGAAAGGACTTGGGTCTAAATCCTTTTTGTTTAGACTCTCTGGTTCCCAGTCTCTGTATATCAGAATATCTTTTTGCATATTATTTGCTGTTTCAAAGGCAGCATAGCACAGTTTATGGTTGACTGAGATGATGTTTTAAAAATATGGGTAGGTCAGGATGAAGTCTGATTTCCTTTCCATTAAAAACGACTCCTTTACTAGTTAACTCGTCTCATATTATCTGGAAATGTTTGTAAAATGCTAATTTTATAATGTTTTATTCATTTTTCATATAATGCTTATAATAAGCATTTCCAGATCCAAAGGGAAACTGTTTGGACCAGACTTAATTATTAAAGTGCATTCAGTATTCAGAGTTGGCGGGAGAGTGAAAAGTAATCATAATATTTTTGTTTGTTTTGGTTAACATAATTGAATACCATGAATAGTGTAGTGCTGTGCCTTCTGTGTTAACTTGGATTTTGAAATAGAACTGACAACAGTATAACCAAAAATATCCTTGATGTTGACACTATTTAAAGTGTTAAGTGCTGAAATAAATATCAGGATAGGGACCAATATTTTACATGAATAAAAGCAAATGTTAAAAACTTTTGGCCAGTCATCCAAACTCCCTCTCTCCCCCAGCTCCTAATATTTTCCTAGATGTGCTATGTAGCATCTTATCTATATGGGCACGTTTGTAGAAAAATGCAGTAAATGTGAACCAGAGTGAATTTAGAATCCTGATTATTAAACACTTATGATAATTTCCCCTTTTTTCCTTCAGAGAATTGTAAGTGCTCAGAGCTTGGCTGAAGATGATGTGGAATGAGAAACAAATGTCATCGTAATAAAGCGTCAACTGAAAGTATTTTTCCGTTTCTGAAGTTGGAAGATAAGCAGCTCTGGGGGAGTGGGGTTGCTGTTTGTTATGGACTGTGTACTACACTGAAGTCTACCAAAGTGAACTCTGACTTTGTGTAGGTTCATTTGTTCTATTTATTTTCCCCATTGAAAAGTGTATTTGATAGAGAGCTTTTCATTTCATAAATACACCATGAGTTACCAAAATATGAATTTTGTGTCTTACTAAAACATACATTTAAAATGTACATAGATCATTACCTGTGTTAAGTAAGAATACTCTGTGCTCAGTTTTAAAAAAATGAAAGACAAGATGCTGAAAGAATGCACATTTAAAACGCTAGTATATTTTATTATACATTAGAAATTTTGATGCAAACTTGTGTTTATTAAAACAGCATTAAAATTGAGAAATAACCTTTTCTATTTGTTCACTTATACTTTAATATGTAAATGGTGTCACTGTGCTGTACTAGTTTCACTCCAACCCCATGTGTTAGTCGAGATGTTTTGTCTAAATTGGTGGTTTATCCTCCCCATATTTGAAATATATATAGTTGCAAATAGCAATGGGAATTAGATCTATGTATAACCCTAGCTTTGTGAGCTTCCCCAGTTCACTGTCCTCATTGATGACATAAGGGTATTGGTCCACTTATGGATGAAGTATCCTTTTCATTTGTATGGTTCAAACCCACGTTCTCTTGAAGAATGTGTTTGTCCAGACTAGTGGGTCTTGCATTTTTTAGACTCTGCATTTTGCATGCCTTGCTTGACGTAATATTTCTAAAAAAAATTTTTGATGGTCTAGCTATCATGGTGATTGTTTCATATGGTTCTGACTGTATTTTAATCTGCCTTTAAGGTAACTGGGATGATCTTTTTTTAAAAAAATGGCCCCCTTTTGCTTTAATCTTCACTGTGTTTCCTGAAATCGTACTTGAACTTGATTCGTTTCTCTTACTGAATGCTGAGAGTAAGGGTAACCAGTCTGGTGGCTGAAGACTTGAACGAAGCTAGCGGGATCTCTGTCATTCTCAAACGTTGACAGATTTCATTTCAAAACTGAGAATAAGGATCCTTGGTACTTGAGTGATCTCTGCTGAACCCAGCAGCCTTTCCCATTGTAAAGATGGACTGGATTCGATCTCAAAAATCTGTGCAGAAATCCCTACGTTTTCTCATGTACTTGGCTTTTTATTTTGGTTTACTTAGAAGCTTTCTTAACCCGTTTTCTTACTGTGGTTGTATAGTGGGAAGAATTTGGAATATAGTTCTAAGTTTTGCCTCTTAATTAGTTCACAGCCTTGGTAAGTCCTGTTGCATGCATGAATATACCCCTTACTATTCTCACTTACGAAGTCTTTGTGTGGCACTGTAGCATAAGCACTGGACTGCTAACTAAAAGTTTGGCAGTTGAAACAGCTGGCCCATGGAAACCTTGTGTTGGGTTGTGGTGAGTTGGAACTGACTCTACATCACTTAACAATAACAGCATTGCTCACTGAAAGGAGATCTCGTTGGTGTCTTGGGTTACACCTTGGGCTACTAACTGCCTGGTCAGCAGTTCAAATCCACTAGCTGCTCCATGAGAAGACAGATGAGACTTTCTGCTACTATGAAGATTTATAGCCTTGAAAACCCTGTACCAGCTTGCTATGAGTTGGAACTGACTTGAAGACAGACAGCCTGCTGTAGCACAGTGAAATAAACACTGGACTGCCAATTGAAAGGTCAGTGGTTCAGATGCAGCAGCCACACCTCAGAAACCCTATACGAGGTCGCTAAGAGTTGGAACCAAGCTGCCAGAACTTAACGTAACATTTTCACTTATAAAATGAGAACAGCAGGCTAGGGGACTCGAACATTTAAGGACCCTTTTTCAGGTACCTTCCAGGTTTGTGATTGATTCTGAATCCTTCAACACTGCTTTGGAGGGATGACAGGTACAAACAAGATCAAATCATTGTATTGGTGATTGTCAATAATTGATGATGCAACTGAAACAGCCTGAGTACAGAAGTGCTAACAGAGGGAGATTAGAGGTGTAGAAAGAGCACTGGTCAGTGGACTGAAGGGTCAACGTAGATGTGACCTCTAACCCAGTAAGGGAGGGCAGAAAGACTCACAATATGCTCTTGAGAGCTGCAGTGTAAAAAGGTGTGGGTATCATGACTCTATGAAAACTTAGATGAGCTTTGAGCGAATGCTTTTGAAAAGGCAATGATAACTTCACTGTAAAACTAACTCAGACAAGTACATTTTATTTATTAAAGTAACAGGCTTGCTGCTTTAAAGGTGCCACTTGTGAAAGCTAGCTGTGTTGGGCAGAAAAAAGAGAGCTGTTTTTAACTTCAGAAACACAGTTGGTCGATACTCTCCTTGGTGAAATCTCACAGTGGTGGCAGTGATGCGTGTCTGGTGGTGGCTCTCAGCAGGAAACACCCCCAGACTTCAGTAATAGATAGGTTGACTGTCCCGCGTGTTCAGGTCGCACATGTGAATAAAACCTTCGGAAATGGAAATTAGATACTAGTGCATGCTTCTTAGGGCAGAGTATTCTGTTTGGTTCCATTATTTGTACTTAAAGATGCATTTAAAACAGGCTTACCTAATGGTGGCAGTGCTATCTTATTAACGACTAGAACGCACATTCACATTAAACTTCCGTAAAATGTGTAAAACCTTGTGCAGTGTGCATAGTTACTGTGAAGTGCCATCGAGTCGGTTCCGACCCATAGCGACCCTGTGTAGGGTTTCCGAGGAGCAGCTGGTGAGCTTGAACCGCCGACCTTGCAGTTCAAACGGCTCTTCAGTCTGACACGTTAGCCCACAGCGCCACACCAGGACAGTGTGCATAGTAGGGGTCAGTAAATACCTGAGTCCCCGAATTTCAGCATTTTGCCTCCTTTCTACTTACTGCCTCATGATTTCTGTAAAGCAGCCTATAGAGTATTAATGAAATGTTACTGCAGAAGAGATTTTGGGAAAATTGGTATGTCATGCAGATGCCATAGGGAATTTCCTTGTAATGTAACAAATGACAGTTTTTATTATTGCTTGTGCTTCAGCTATTTTCAGTGATTATTAAAGGGCTTGGAGAAAATTTTGCCTTGTTGTGTATTTGCAGAAGTAAATTCTGAAGAAGTTGATAATGGTAAAGCTTTGGTACCTAACCTTTCCTAGGCTAGCAGGCTAGCATCCCTTTCAGAGTTTTGAGGGCTGTGAAAGGTTCCGTCTGAGAAATGCACACCTGCAGAGCCAGGTTAAGAATGCCTGCTTTAATGTAAACAGGTAAGGGATTATGTGCAGCAGTGAATCTCAAGCCTTCACGTGTACTGGAACCACCTGGAGGCTCGGTTCAAACACGCTGCTGGGCCCCACAAGTCGATGTGCAGCACTTCTGGGGCAGGGCTTACATAATGCCGTTTCTACTCAGCCTGGGACCACACTGAAAGTGGGACCAGCAGTGAAAAACAGTGGTGATGTGGAACAAGTGGTTAGGTTACTCGCCTCTAGGTGCTTGTACACGGTAGAAATGAGATGTGTAACTCAAAAGCCCCCCGATTGGTAATGTTACGTGAGAACACCTCGTGTGTTCATGGAATCTCGCTGTGATGCTATTGGATAGGCACTGGGCTGCTAAACACAAGGTCGACAGTTCAAACCCACCAGCTGCTCAGAAACCCGTGTATGGGGCTGGCTATGAGCCAGTAGCAACAAGTTTGAAACTAACAGTGGTTTCATGGGAGAAAGATGAGACTTTTACTCCCATAAAGATTTACAGCCTTGGAAACTGCTGAGTCCCTATGAGTCGGAGTTGACTCCATGGCACACTACCACCACCACCACCACCACGAGTCAGAACCAGCTTGACAGCACTTAACAAGAGGGATTCCGAGGAGCCGCTGCTGACCTTGAGCTGCTGACCTTGAGATCTAGGCACCTTATGTTTACATGTTTACGTTGTTCAGTGCCAACTCATAGTGACCCTGTATAGGGTTTCCGACAAGCGGCTGGTGAGTTTAAACTACCAACTTTGCGTTCTAGTCCATTAACCTGCAATACCACACCAGGATTCTGGACTACCAATTACAATGCAAGATTATACTTAAGATCAGAAATTTTTTTTTTTTTCAGAAGATAGCCTATTAAATAGATCGGTTGAACACAAACTACATGTCCTAAATATTGTTGTCATGCTTTAGTTTTTAATTGCATAGGACTCCTGGTGTGGTGCTGTGGGTTAATGCACTGGGCTGCAAGGACAGTGTTTGAGACTCACCAGCTGCTCCTGGGAAACCCTATACAGGATCACTATGAGTTGGAACCAGACACTGGCACTTCATGACAACATTTGTATCTTTCGGTAAATTGGAAGGAATTATTTTCCTGTTTACAGTGATTGTAGAACACAGTACAGGTGTGCATCACTTCAATGTCTAGGATCTGTTTTCTGGAAAAGAATGTGTATTGTGCAGGTGTTGGGTTGAATGCTCTGTACACATCTATGAGGTCTGCTTGTTTAGTTCTGTGTTTTTGTCAAGTTTCTTTCTGGTCTATCGAATTTTGAAAGCGGTATATTAAAATCACCCACTATTGTTGTACATTCATCTGTTTCTTTCTTCAAATCTATTAGAGTTTGCTTTATATATTTTGGAGCTCTCGCATTGGGAGCATAGTATTTATTATGGTTATTTCATCTTGTTCAATTGTCCCTTTAATCATGAGATAATGTCCATCTTTATCTATTGTGCTGTTTTTGCCTTAAAAGTTTATTTTATTAGAGGTTAGTACTGCCACTCCGGTTCGCTTTTTATTGCAGTCAGCTTGGTATATTTTTTTCCATCCTTTTTGACTTTTAATCTGTTTTTGTCTGTGTGTGTGTGATGTGTCTCTTGCAGATAGAATATTGAAGGATCTTGTTTTCTTATCCATTCTGCTACCCTCCGTCTCTTAACAGGTGCA